ACACACACACACACACACACACACACACACACACACACACACACACAGAAGAAAGTTTATTACTTTCTACACCTCAAAGGTTGAAATGTAATAAAGTTCTTTCAATCTTTTGTTTTTATCATTTTTGTGTCTCTGCAGGAGCTGGAGGTTGGTCACCTATTATTTCAGACCGATATCAGTGGCTCGAGGTTGACTTGGGTGAGCGGACCAAGATCACAGCTGTCGCCACACAGGGCCGGTATGGCAGCTCTGATTGGCTAACGTCTTACCTGCTGATGTTCAGTGACACGGGGCACAACTGGAGGCAGTACAGACAGGAGGACAGTATTGGGGTGAGTCTACAGAGCAATAGTAGTCCCAAAACAACAAACTGAAGACTATAGAAGTGTTTTAATGATTTTAATTATTTAAACAGGTATAACGAAAGCTTATATGGCAAAAATACCTTTAAAACTACACAAGTAGAAATGTACAAGCGTCATTACACTGAAAAAATAATCCTATTGATTGCAGCTAATTTTCCTGGACCACTACAGTCATACTTAGAGACGATTTGGTGTTTCGTAGAGCTGATTTGCACGAATCAGTCAGTCCTGCAGAGATAATCACAGTCATCAGAAGCCCTTTGTCTCTTCATTAATAATGGATGAACCAATGAAAGGGCTCTGCTGACTATGCTGACCTGTTGCCAAAACACTTAAGCTGCTGTTGACGGACACAAGTGAGACAAGGAGACCGAGGCTGTGCAATTTAATCTAAAGGCTTTCTGAATGCTAAACTGAAGAAAACTACAACTTTGTTTTAAATTCAGTTCAAGGACGTCTTTACATATGCACATATTCAGTCTCACCTTTCACTTGATGTACGGTATGGACATGAGGGTGACTTTAAAAACTTCAAAGCATGTTATAATAGTTGGATTGTTTTCTGTATTCGATTTTTGAATAGAAATTACATGTTTGTGATACTTGCACACTACAAACATCACACAGTTTTTAGCTTCCTTCAGTCTCCATTATAAGCTAAGTAACACAGCTACTGGCTATAGTTTTATACTTTACTTTTTAACTTCTTTCTGCAAGGTTCAGAAGCTGCGTCTCTTGCCTGACTGCTTTGAACATTAAATAAAATACTGCAGTCTTTGGGATAAATAAATCCCAGCTATAGGAATGGTAATGCTACATAAATCACACATTTTATGTTAGTTTAAATCTTGACTGTCAACGAGTCAGTTGCTTCTTTAGGACTGAAGAAGCAGTGAGGCATTCCCTCATAGCACATTGCTTCGATGTTTTCCCTTTGCAAGTGTCTTGTCAGACTTGCAGTTGCACTTGAAAATATGGGTCAGTATCAGAGGGATACTCAGTAGTTTTCAGTTTTTGTGATCTGTAAAAACACAGGAAAAAATCCTGTAAGAACAGTGAGCCCATTGTAAATATGTCTCCAGTGGCTTTAATGTCAAATCCAGTAGTCTAGTACACATGCAAAATATGGTATACTGCTCCACTGTGAGCATGACCATTTATCCGGGGTGAAGCCGCATTTGTTACAGTGCTGCAGAGAGAAGCTTTCGATTAGGAGTCGAGCCGTGGCAATTTCCTCCTGTGAAAAGAATTGAGTTAATCTCGGTGCTGAGGATCTTCTGTGAGAGAGAGCAGAGGACAGCTCTTCACAGCTTAAAAACATGTTGATCTGATGCTCTACATAAACTCTGCACAATCCCAGTCACATTTCAAAGTGTTTCTGAACTTTTGTGAGTTAGTCAGCCGGGCTTAGAGAGCTTGTCAGAGAAAAAGTTGATGACAAAGCAGCCGGATCAACCACACCACTTTTTAGTGCTGCTTTTTCTGGCAGGGTTGTATCTTTCTTTCCATGAGAAAGGAAAACTAAGGGGAAGATATTAAAATTGTATCATTGTTCCCGGAGGCACATAGGGTAAGCACGGCAAGTAACTCTACAAAGTAAGACAGTGGGTACTCAAAAAGAGAGACAAGGAGAAAAGCAGAAAAAACCCAGAAGACAAAGAGAAGAAATTAGACTTGGACCCAAATGAGAACTAAACAGCCCATTATCATTCCCAACGCGTATCATTGTCACACCTTTAGGCATCTCATAGTGATGCAAAAGGTACCCTTCCTCGTCTGTTTGAAACATTCTGGGTTCTCAATTGACTCCAATATAAACCCGCTCGTGGCAGTAAGAGATGCTTAGAGCACAGGATCCAGCTGTCCATTCCAACACAAACGCATCAAAGTATTTCTGACAATTCAACAATAAAATAGCTTCGTGTTGGGGCCATCACGTAGTGTTTTCCAAACTGATTCAGGATCTGAAAGTGAACAGATTTAACGTACATAATGCTTTGTTAGGTTTATTATTTTCTATTTCACAAGTAAAACACATTTATAGATTCATTCCAACTCGCTCTCATTCCCAACAGGTAAAATACAGAGGACTGTGGCAAGTCCTCTGTATTTTACCTGTTGGGATGAGAACGTGTTAGATACTCGAGAGACAATGACAGTCACCTTCCTTTGGCAGCTTTCTCTCTTGTCTTGGCTCTTTTGTATAAATAAAATTATATGAATCAAGAGTTTTAAGCTGTCTTGAGTAAATGATTGAAAGCCCATTCATATAAGTTAATAATAATAATAATAATAATAATAATAATAATAATAATAATAATAATAATAATAATAATATATAATTGTACACCTAACAGATATTTACAGTTGCCTAACATAGGGGCAGTCTTAGTGCACCTGTCCATGTCAAGTGAATGAACAATGCAAGACAGAAAACTGAGTGTTTGTGTTCAAGGACTCTTCCAGGGCTTTCTCTTCTCTGACTGTTAAAGTAAATGAGATGCTGCTCTATCCACAAAGTCTGGGCTTTGCTGGGCTGAATGCTCTTCTGGTTCATCAGCTGAGATGAAAAAACTGCGTTCACCTGCTTGGTCTAAAAATAAGGCCTCCTCATAACCCAAGCATACACAGCTCCTAGGGTCCACTGAACAGTACTGTCAGTTCACATATGCTGCTAATTTTATATACTATAATATGTTGGTGTGCTTGCTGGAATCGTGTATCACTGTGTGTGTGTGTGTGTGTGTGTGTGTGTGTGTGTGTGTGTGTGTGTGTGTGTGTGGCACTGCAGCCAATTTGTTCCTTTTAGCGGAAACAACAGAGGAAGCTTTTATTTTAAAAACATGAGCAGTATCCAGGCACAAACATACAGATATATACACTACTAAAGTTACACATCATTCTTCTTTTCACCATATAAGCAGATCCAACTCTCCTAAGTTAATGAGTTAATTAGGTGTATAAGCTTTTTTTTCAGTAGTACGGGAGCCAGTTAACCTGCGTGTCAACTTCACAGGATGCATGTAATTATGATAGATTGCCAGATGGAATGGCTGTAAAAAAATAAAATAAATAAAATAAACCAAATTAAGCCATTTGTCACCCAGCCCGGAGTAAGAAGGAAACAATTTTCTGTTCACATTTTTAAAGGCAGGCTGTTTATTGTTAATCCAAAGCAACATCAGAGCAAAATACCATTAACTTTTTTTTATTTGTTCATTTCCTCAGTTTTGTGTGAGAAATCCAATCATCATTTGAGTGATTGAAATGAAATTTTATACAGACAGTTGTGGTTATGGAAGTGATGAACTATTATGGAAATTTTGATGAGACAAGTGTCATCATTGCACAAAGACGGTGCAAGTTCTCAGACTCAGATGTTCCAGAAACATTTATTGGGTCTTGGCACCAGGCTACAGTTTTTACAGTTTATATTTTCACTGCAGTTCTAAGGATCTCTTCAGCACTATGCATTTTTGTACTTAAATCAGATACCTGATGCTTAATGCGGTGTGTCTTTTAGTTACATACAGCCCACCTTTATAACCTTTATACTCGGTGAAATGCTCTGAAGTCAATGGGAGACAGGGTACAGGGAAGAGACCCTGGATTTAAATTCCACCTAAATTCCACCAAATGTGATCTTGCCTGAGCTGTCAGGTGGACTGGAGGTTAGGATTCATACTGTGTGGGTGATTTGTGTCTTGATTTCTAACTATACCTATTAAAACTTCAGGCCAAAAACATATCTTAAAGAAATACTTCGTTTGAATCTTACTTTGTTCAATGCATCTGTTGCACCTAGAAGTTTTGTCATTATGATAGATATTATGTCATTTGTCACTGTAAGCATGTTAGCATGCTGATGTTAGCCTTTTGTTCATGGTCACAATTGTGTCAGCAGAGGAGGCTGTTGACTTAGTCTTGTTAAAATGATTGATATTCACTGTATTTGCACACCTGTATTATTATATGCTAATGCTCTTTGGTGATGATGGATGCAGATATACCCAGAGATGCACTGCAAATGTTGCATACCAGATTTAAAACAGTAAAAGTAGTCACCTAGTGGTCTATATCAGCGGTCCCCAACCCCTGGGCCTCGGACCGGTACCGGTCCGTGAGTCGTTTGGTACCTGGCCGCGAGAGTTGAGGCTCAGGTGTGAAATGTATGGTTTTCAGGGTTTTTATCGGTTTTCAGCATTATTTTGTTATCGTTTTTATCGTTAACTCGGTTTTCCTGGGTCTTTTCACGTGTGTTATGAATAAATCTTCTTTTTTTCGGTACCGGTACTAGTTTTATTTTGTTGTATTTATCCGCGACACCTTAAAGGCCGGTCCGTGAAAATATTGTCGGGCATAAACCGGTCCGTGGCGCAAAAAAGGTTGGGGACCGCTGGTCTGTATAACAAAGTAAAAGTGGGAGCTGACTCCCAATCGCGCAAAGCAATTCAAAATCCAAACCATTGTAAGAGTGTTTACACAGCAGACTGGTACACAGGAAGAGAGAAGAGAGTCCCTGTGGCGAACCAAGCAGCAAAGATGCAGTCTAGAATTCAAGAGATTATGATTATTATGTATTAATATGCATGATAGATAAATGCATTAGAAGATAATATATGCATATAATAATGTACGTATACTTATAGTATATATAGTTGAGTATGTTAAGTATTATATTCATATTCCTATTGTAGTAATAAATATGTTATATACGTATATGTATATATATATGTATATATATATATAATATATAGTATATAATTATATGTTATATGTGATATATATAGTATATATATATGGTATATATATATAGTATATATATATATGTATAGTAGTATATTAATATATATGTTATATATATATAGTATATATAGTATAGGTATATATATATGTATAATATGTATATATATTATGTTTTATGATATTTTTTATATATATATATGTTATATATTATATAGTATATACATCTATTGTATTATGTATTATATTATCAGTATGTATATATTATATATAATATATAATATATATATATATAGGTAATATATATATATATATATTATCTACAATAGATATATGTATATATATATATATATATGTATATATATATATATATATATGTATATATACATATATGTATATATATATATATGTAAGCCAAACTGAAGGGGATGGAAACAGAAACCACAGAGACTAATCAATCTATATGCTGAAAAGTAAATTACAGCTTTTTCATGTAAGAATAGTGCAGCACATGATCTTTTGTCTGTGATTTTAGTCTTTTCCAGGTAACAGTAACGCAGACAGTGTGGTCCACTACAAGCTGCAGCAGCCGGCGATCGCCCGCTTTATCCGTCTCATTCCTCTGGACTGGAATCCAAACGGTCGGATTGGACTCCGGCTGGAGACCTATGGATGTCCTTACAGTAAGTCGTATATTCTTTACTAGACAAATGAAAATCTTTACAGATTTGTAAGGAGATCAAATCAGATTCAGATCAAATAACTTTATTCATTCATTTTAATACTTTCTCTCTTAATTGTATTAAAGAATTGAAGCTTTCTAAGACGACATAACAAAACTACACAGGTCCAAAGTTTTTAACTCAAATAACCAAGTAAGTGAAATGAGTAAGTGTACAAAGCAGAAATATAAAACTAATGTAATTAGAATTGTAAGAATAGGGATCATTTATAAAACGCTAGCAGAGCCACTTAGCATTATTAGATTATTGATATATTCTAAGTTATTTATTCACTGTGTGTTAAAGCTATGTTTAATCATATCCAAGGGCTATAAATTTATCACAGTTATTAAAAGAAACTTAAGTAAAAGTAACAAAGATAAATTAGTGGAATGACTGAAAAGGCTGAAAAGAAGGTTTTCAAAAGAAATGAAATGCAAAGTTTTTTCTAGCCTCTAATTAACAAGAAATATTGTGGCATTTTTAATAATGTATCTTGAATAAAAAAAATTCTGTTTACAGAAAAAAAATTATATTTGGCTTCAAAAAGTTTTTTCACCATTACTCTAAGTATGTGTTGTTCTGTATCCTCTGAATACTTCAACTTTTCTTGTTTTCTAAGTTTCACGCTTCATTATGTCGCATCGTGTTCTTGGTTTTTATTATTTTTACAACCAAGATGTTAGCACATCAATTATCACCCTTCTTGATATTGTAACATTTTGTTGTGTGTGTGTGTGTTTTTTAAATACACCATGGCGCCTAAAGCCTGCCAGCTATTGTTTCCCTCGCTCATGTTTTTAATTTTCACCTCTGTAATCAACCTCGACAACCATCCATTTCACGCGTTCCTCAAGCCAGAAAACATACTGTGATAACAATTTAGTTGGCTCTACTTTTCGTTTTGCAGATTTCACAGATTAACTGAATGAATTAAAGTGATAGCAAGCCCACATCACAAAACTTAGTTTTCAGCCATGCGCGTAACTTTTGCAGCTTCACATTTCAAAACACAGATTTTTTCTCTGAATAAACGTCAAGTATCTCACAGTTTCTTTAGTGGATATATCCGCTGTTTGCATTGAAAACAAAAATTACCACATGTCACTTCTGCTTTCACAGCTTAACTACTTTAGTCATGCTGACAGTTAAATGTGTAGTGTACAAACCTTTTGGGGAAAAGGCTGTTTTATACATCTGTTTTTTTTTAAAAAAATACAAGGTGGTGAATTTTCTTGTAAGTTATCTTGTTACAAAGTAGTTGCATTCAGCCTTTTTTACATGTCAGCAAGTGATACACTTGCATTTTTGTGTTACCCTCGTAAGATTGTGTGTAATGCATACATTTTAAACACATCATTTCTTATTGGCTAGTAAAATGTGAGGGCTATATTCCTTAACAGTGAAAGAGCAATCACAGTTTGAGCTGGTCAAGTCAGGTGCATGATTATAGTTGAGCTTATGTCTCGATCTGATTGCTCCCTTCCTTTACAGCACAGACTTCTGAACATAAAGTCCTGAGTTCTCTACTGATGTTTTCTTTCATTTTCAGCCTCTGATGTGGTTAGCTTTGATGGTGGCAGCAGCGGTCTGTTGTACTGGTTGACTTCTGGGCTTAAGCGGACATCCAGAGATGTTGTCACTCTGAAGTTTAAAGCCCTGAGGAATTCTGGGACACTGCTGCAGGCAGAGGGACAGGAAGGACTCAGCCTCAGTCTGGAGTTAGAGAGAGGAAAGCTACTACTGCTGCTGAGACAAGGTAAACACACAGATCTATTAACTGATATCAAGAACATTTACATCCGTTAATAATATACTTGGGTATGGCTGAGATTTCAGTATGAATGCTATTTTCATCAGCTGAAAAGTTGATAGAAAATAATACTGTAAAGTCTTTAAAATAAGAAGCATGTTGAGATGAGTTGTTAACCAGAGCTACAGAAATATAACTGAATTGGAAGTATCAAAACCAAGAACACCTTTATTATATGAAAAGTTTACTGCCTTATATTGTTATGTCTCACATTTAAATTTCTTTAAATTTAAAATATGTTCCAATCTGACAGCTTATGTCTAAACAACGATTTAATAAGATAGAAAGTATTTTTATATTTGTAAGTCACTTGTTTGTGTTAGTGCAGAACATCTGTTTAAAGGTTGAGGACAATATAAAAACCACTAAAATTACTAAGATTGGCTTTCGGTGGATCAGATCGATGGCATGTATGCTGGCACCTGATTGGTTTAAATCTTGGCTCCAAATTCTGCTTTTGCGTCTCTGTCTAGTTACAGCCATGATGGATGGCTCCCGTTCAGTGTAGCATGTGTTAGGGCTGGACTGTGCGAGAGTTGATGCACGGCAGGTGTGTGTGTGCGTGTGTGTGTGTGTAAATGGGGTTAAAGCAGAGTTTGTCTGGCTGCCATGCTGAATCATCACCATATGGCACATCTCTCATCGGGAAGCCCATCTGGTTGCTGAAGTACGTTATCCATCTATCAGTCTTCTGTCTCTTGCTCCATTTCACGAACCTCTGAACATCTTTCCCTTTTCCATTAGCAGCTAAATACACCTTTGTGTCCATGAGCTTATCCTTAAATATGTCAGCGCTTTTTTTTAACAGACAAAAGGAATAACCTTGCAGCCAATTAAATTAAAAACTAGCATAATTTCAAAACCGTGTACTCAAATTTCTTGCATACACAAGTGTAATCCATTGTGATAGGACAGTAATTCTCACTCTCACCTATTGGCAATTTAGAATCATCAGTTAACCTAACCCTACTAAGTGCATGTCTTTGGACTATGAGTTAAAAAAAACACAAGAGTACTCAGAGAGAAACCACACAAACACAGAGAGACCCCAGCCAGGTGGATTCAAACTTGTTGTGAGGCAAGAGTTTTAACCACTGCACCACCATGCTGCCTGGTGGGTGTTTGGAGTCCTTTAATTATCTAAGGTAATAAAGTAGACGTGTGATGGACTTTCCTCACTGGGGTGTTAATGACAGGTCCTGGGAGAACACCAAGCTATATAAAGTTATCCAGCCCCTCCACCTGGGCTCCATTTTTGCTATGACGATGGAAGCGTTTCTCCTGTTTCCTGATATTTCTCACAATGATCACCTCGGCCTACAGGTGTTCAGCTCAAGATTGTTCTTCTTACACCAGAAAGGCAGGTGGTTGATCTCATCCCACTAGGCAGATTCATCATTACTTGAGATCAGGCCGATTACCACTGTGCTGTCAGCATACTTGGCTGTGATATTGGATTATGAGGTAAATGGCCTGTATTTGTATAGCGCTTTACTAGTGCCTAAGGACCCCAAAGTGCTTTACATATTCAGTCATCTACCCATTCACACACTGGTGATGGCAAGCTACACTGTAGCCACAGTCACCCTGGGGCGCACTGACAGAGGCGAGGCT